CTTCCACATTTTCGTGAAATATTTGGATCCTTGCATCCTATGATTCATTACAGCAACCGCTCATCAAATGCTAATTTAAATTGCGATATATTTTATATCAAACCTCAAAGTTTATTTGAAAGGAAAAGTTTACCATAATTTCAACCCGCCTTAAAAAAAAAAAAAAAAACACACATACACAAAAACATTATTATTATTTTTTTTTAAATATTTTTTGTCATGTTGCCGCGCGCGCAACTGGCCAAGTAAGCAGCGCGGCCGTGGCCTAACGGTTATCGTGCTTGACTCCCACGCGAAGAGCTAGGGTTTGACTCCTTCGAGCTAGGGTTCGACTCCGAGTCTTTCCTTTGTTCTTGCAATTTAGCGTTCTTGTAAATTTGCGAATCCTGTTGCTTGTTCGAGGTCCGAATGTTCTACGCGTCGAACTTTTTACACAGATTGTTCCAGAAGCCCACGCGTGTACTACATAAGGGGCTCCGCGTGCCGAGCCGCAGTCAGTCTTGCTCCAGCGCTCGATCCTGCTGTTTCGCCGACATCGACGCCTGCGACGCTAACTTCCTCCTATTTTGTTTTGCGCACAAGTTCGCCTCATTAGTTTCTTCAGTTATCCTTCACCTCGTCATTTGTCATTCCTGACAATATTGCCTTCCCATTGGCCAAGTTCGATATCTTACCCGCACGAAAAGAACCGGTGAATTATCGGGAGTTCCTCTCTTTGAAGTGGCCATCTAAGGCGCATCCTAAAGGAGCCATGGAACGTTTTTTCTACTTTCGATACTACTCAAAATCACTCTCTAACGTTAATAACCGAATGAGCTTGCCTTAGTTGTTCTTTCTGGGCATTGGCAGTTGCCAAAAGAAATTCGAGAAATATGAGCATCTTTCATCGATGAGCGATGCTCATATTTATCGAATTTTTGAGGGGATCCCCTCAACTGGGAGCCAGAACAAGCGGCCACGTGGCTTTGTGCCCTTCCTATGCCTCCAGCGTTAATCATAGCCACGTGCTGGGGGTTGACAAAGTAGAGACGCGTGCCGACCTCCAGGGCATTGGTAGAGTTGGGCTATTCTCATCAGCGCAGTGGCTGGACACGAGCCACTACCCGAGTGTCCGCCGTACGTGGCATTGGATTGTTACGAGCCGAAGTCGAGTGCTCATGTAGTTCTCGTGTCCAATCCGTTAGCCACGCTCGACTGTCGTCAGTCAGCTGATTTCGATCCCACAATTACATCATCCAGCTTTGCGAAGGCAAGACCTGAAAGATATAGTCCCCTTTTTACCTTCGCAATTTCACCGCGACAAAGATGTTTCTGAATCAGTAGCGGTCTGTGCGAGTGTACTTGAGCCAGACTAGGGCCCAGTAGGCATCTGCAAAGTGATTAACGTTCCAACCCGATAACGTTTCATGACCCCTTTAAAGTGGCCGCGAAATTATTTTAACGTTCAAAGAATCTGGTGCTTGTCACCTTCGTTTGGCTTACCTTAGCACGAGTAAAGGAAAACAAACCCTGAGCCCTCAAGATGTCACGAGTGTGCGGTGAAATCGCGAAGAGGAAAGGGGACTATTTTCCGTCCTCCAGCCGCTTGAGCCGGCCAAGAAAACAACGCGCGTGACGTGAACTTAATGAAAGTGTATTGAGTTGGCAAGCTCAATACGTATCTGCTCGATTTGAGGCAATTTTTTTTTTTAATTTTTTTATGTCGTGAACAGACGCGTCAAAAGCCTCATATTCTTGACTTCTATTACGCAAAGATTTAGTGGCGCCATCTACCCGAAGCTAAGAAAAACGCTCCCTCCCCACTTCCCATAGCTAGCGACACGAAACTGGATGTCTCCTGTTGCCCCCCTCAGGACCGGAGGGGGGGAGGGGGGGGGGGGGGGGGGGTGCAACGATTTCCGAACTTCGGTAAACAATTAGTTGAAGTTGCCCTTTGACATTTGTGAAGTAAAGAACACAAAACCAGTCATGGGTAAGTTACTTTTAAAAAGTAATTCGTTACAGTTACAGTGACTTTTCAAAAAAAGTTGCGAAGTTACCGTTACAGTTACCGCCACAAAAGAGTAACTCGTTACAGTTACAGTTACTTTGAAAAAGTAACGACGTTACTTTTCAGTTACTTTTCTATAACACAAAAAAAATTTAGGAAAAATTAGAAAACGCCCCTCACAACGTTATATTGCATAAAATTAAAAAGTACGCTTTTTGCTTCCTATTGTTACTTAGAAGCAGTTGCTTCTCGGAATTAGTGTTTGAAAGTTTCCATGCCAGAGTAGTGGCGCAAATCAAAATGCGAAACATGCGCAGTGCGGAGTAATGGCGCTAATAAAAATACGAGACATGCACAGTATCCTTCCCGTGTATTGTTGTTTCACGGTTGATTCACCCCATTAAAATGCGTTTGCACAGAAAAAAGAAAAACCATAACATCGGTAGTGCTTCAAGACACTAAGATGTAAGTGTTCAATCACAAAGTACAAGCGCGTGCGTAAAGATAACTAGATATTTTTTTCATAAAATCTACACGTGCGTGACTCACGAGAAAGAACGTATGCACAACTTGGTGCAAGGCCAACTTGACACTCGAAATGTCGGAATAGACGATTTAGAAAGTGCAAGGAATGGCTAAATTGCACCCTCGTTCAGTGATATATTATTCATAAAACACTGGAAAGTAACGACAAAAGTAACGTCGTTACTTTCATCGTTACCTTAGAAAAAAGTAATAGAACTACAGTTACAAGTTACATTTTTAAAAAGTAATAGAACTACAGTTACAAGTTACATTTTTAAAAAGTAACTCGTTACAGTTACAAGTTACCGAAAAAGTAACGAAGTTACAGTAACGCGTTACTAGTAACGCGTTACTACCCAAGACTGCACAAAACCGATTTCGCCTGCGTCTCCTAGTTGTTGTGTAAAAAATAAAAAAAAATATTGGCATTTCTGGCATCCCTCAACTCACTCTTAGTCTTCAGGGTCACATCTGGTCCCTATCCTAGTGTAGTGACGTAATTAGGGGTGCCGAGTAGGTTTCCCTGTGCTCTCTCGGAGGTCGCCTTCTCTCCCTCTATTTGCTGAAATCGGCGGACGTAAGCTTCTCGCCGTAGTTCCTTCGGCTGCCACTCGCGGCCGCAGGTGGGGGAACAAGCTCCAGTCTTGTTATGCGATTCTGCAGCGGAATCGCGACATTTTTTTACTGAAGGAGATGTTTTCTCTATCCCCCGCGACACGATAAACAACGTAAAAATGACGAGATGCAAATTCTTTTAATCTTAAAGTCGTTGCACCCCCCTCCTTTTTAAATATGTTTCAATTTTTTTTTTTTTTTTTTAACAAAAGTTAAGGCATTTGTAGTCAAAAATCTTTTGTGATCTTTATTGTACAGCGCCTCCCCGCGACTAGGGGAGGTTTGGTGAGGGGTTTTCCGTGACTCCCTTGCAATATGACGCGGCAGTTCTCGAGTAATTGGACCTCTTGACCCGCATGGGATGTTTTCACTCGCGTCTGCCGAGTCGAGATACAACGCGTCAAAGGATCCATTATTGGACCTTTTGACTCGCCGTGGATCTTGTGACTGGTTGGACCTCTTGACCCACTTTGGATCTCTTGACTCCTGTCTGGCGAGTCCAAAGATCCATTATTGGACCTTTTGACTCGTTGAACCTATTGACCCACATTGGATATTTTGACTCCTGTCTGGCGAGTCAGAAGGGCACACCACCATCCGAGCGCTTCGACACCTCTGCCAAAAGCGATTGTTGGCACGACTCCGCTTGCCACGTGCGGTTTCAAAGTTTGGTGAAATGTCGTACTACAAATGTAACTTCACCAAATAAACACAAGGCGTGCAACAGGCTTTGCCGCGCGTTACACAAGCAGCGCATGAAGCGAGCTGACGAGCCGAGGGGATCCAAGATCTGCACCTACCCATGACGTGACAAATGATGATGATGATAGCTAGAGAAGCGCTCCGTGTAGTTCGCAGCTCCCGTCAACGATTCTCCAACCTCCCCAACCTTGTCGAGATTTTTCACGTACTTCCGGAGCACGGTTTGTCGTTATCCGACATTGTGCGCGCGACTTCACCAACTTGGTTTCGTTTTGCAAAAATCCCTCCATCCGCCCCTCCAAAACGATCAAAAAGAAACAAAACAAACAGGCCAGCAAAAAGACCCCCCCCCCCCCCCCTCCAAAAAAAAACAAAAAAAAAAAAACGCGTAAGCAAGGAGAGAAACATCGGAGAGGAGGACGAAAACGATGAAAATAAAAACAGGAACTTTGGCTGCTTTGGGCCGGGTGAGGAGGTTGACACGTGACTACGCTCCGACGATGTGCAAAGAAGGCGTCCGCTGCAGCCACAAACGCTCTCCTTTTAAACGGAACTCCACGAATATTCCCGTTTTACGCCAAAAGTAGAGAAGGGAGTGCGTCCGAACGCGTTTCCTGGGGGGGCCTCGTAAGTTACTAGAGGGTGGAAATCGGGAACACGAAATCGAACGGAAGACGAATCGTGCAAGTCTTGTGAGTACCCGCCATAGAGTTATTCTACTCGCATTCTTTCGCGCGGCGCGTACACGAACGTCGAAATGAGGAGGAAATGAGCGCCAGAAACTTGCTCGCTGAAAGAAAAGCAACAGGAAAAACTGCGTCGGGCCCGTTGGCCCGACGCAGCGTACTTTTCGTCGTCTTGCTTTCCTCCTCGCAGCGTACCTTACTGAACTGCCGCCAGGGTTTCCAAATAGGACGTCGGCGACGTCGGTATCCTCATCATCACCCACTGCAAACATGGCGACATCCGTGAGTCGGTGTGTGTGGCGCTCGGGGAGTAACGGAAGTCTTTTAGTGAAGTGTGCGGGCTTTGCTTTCTCCGGTCGGTGTTTATCGGATTTCAGGTGGGTTTCAAGCTCTAGTGTTGTGTTCGCTACCAAGTCATCTCTAATGAACCGGAAACGCGACGTCCCTTACCTTTACCGAGAGTCAAGTCACACAGGTGGGTGGTCGCCAGCTGTTTTCCCGCCGGCCTCATGGACATCATATCACACGGCACCTCTGCACGGCACTCACCTACAAGCAGACAAGGAGGAAACGTAGCACAAAGCCTGCGCCATTCGCGGCTTAGTTGGTTCCGGTTGTGAGACGGGCCTTTGACTCCTTGACGGAAGTTCCGCTTGGCACACTCTTTCCACCGACTCCATCGGGTTTTTTTTTTCTTCTTCTTTTTTTAATACAAACCATCGTTTGGGCTGCAAGAGGTTCTACTTTTAGTTCCCCCATTACTCGCAAGTCTGTTTTTATTTGCAGGTGAGCTTTATCTATATATATATATTATCTTGACAACTGGAATCTAAATATTGCAGAGAATGCGATTTCAATCGATGGGTTGTCACCGAGAGGCCGCCGAGCTCTTAAAAGCTCCAATCATTCGATTTTTGTATGGTGTTGATCTTGCAATTGTACGGAACTCTCATTTTTCAGGTATGCTCTTTTATTTGTGCTTCCGAACAAACATTCTGCTGCCCTGGTACGCGTCAAATTCCCTTCTTTCCTTGCTGAACCCAAAAAGGGGCCAACCGATACCTTTCAGCCTGTTGGCAAGAGAGCTGTTCCTCATGCTCGCTTCTTTGAGATGCCTCATATCTGTGTATGGCAGGTCCCCAGACATTTTCTTTCGTCACAAAAGCATGTCCACAGTTGGTGGACCGCTCTGGTAGCGACTGTCGATGCAACATGTTTGTTTGGAGCTCTGCAGATTACGAATTTTTCGCGGGGACAGGTGAGCGTCATGCGGGCGAGTGTCCTCGGCTGTGTGTGTCCGCACATGTGAAGCCGGAGGCACTCGAATGCAGGTAGGCGGCCCAATCATGATATGTGTGTCCTCGCAGCCATGTCAGCGCCCCCCTGGAAGGAGGCGGCCAGCCTGATCGTGGTGAGCCGGGCGCCGCTGCGCGACGTGGTTGGCCGCGACCTGGCCTCCGCCATGATAGCCACCGTGTGGAACAACCAGAGCAAGCAGCGCGTCTCCCGCTGTGACTACCGCGTCCTCATGGTGAAGCGGTCCAGCCTGAGTTCGTTCATGGCCAACGCGTATGTCTACCCCGGAGGCCTGTGCGAACGGTGCGACTTCTCGGCCGACTGGTGGGACGTGTTCGAGGCGGCTGGGGCGTCCAGAGAGTCGCTTCTGCGGGACGTGTGCGGCCGGACCCTTGGGCCCCGGCCCCCGATGATTGAGAAGCCCATCACACTGTCGCACCAGAACCTCCGGCCAGAAGACCATCTGCCAGGGGACCTGGCCTACCGCATCTCGGCCATCCGCGAGACGTTCGAGGAAACTGGTGTGCTGCTGCTCACCAAGGCACCCAGGGCCAGCTGCTCAGTGACGACGGAAGCCGTCTCTGAGGGCTTCGACGCCACTCAGTGGAGGCAGCGGCTCCGTGAGGACCCGGCCAACTTCGCCAAGATCTGTCGTGAGGTGGGCCTCTGCCCCAACGTGTGGGCCCTGCACGAATGGTGGGACTGGCTAACGCCCATCTCGGTGGGACACCGCCGCTACGACACCATGTTCTACCTCTGCTGCCTTGACAAGCAGCCTGAAGTGGTGCTGGACCAAAGCGAAGTCATCACGCTCAAGGTGCGTGCCGCTCTTTCTCGGTGTGGCTGTCCGTGTTGATGGGTGTTTGTGTCAAGGTCTTCCACTCTCTGCGGGCCCCTTACTCTTCGACCTAGTTGCGCACGAGACACTGTTTTTCTTTTAAACCTAAAAAGGCATTCAGAACGACTTGTACGGGGTTAACTATCAGGCATATATGGCGGTTTTAGACAGATCATACTGTGCCATGTGCCAGTTCAATGCACAATGCTCGGGTTTCAGTAGGCAAGCATTAGGCTCAAAATGGTTTGCCCCAATTTTTATTCTCTACGTTTCAAACCTGTGGCAATGTGTTGGCGTAAAAGAGCTTTCAGAGGCTTGACCTTCTTCGGGGAAGCTATGGAAGGACTGTGGTGCTGATGAACGTTGATAAATGCGCATTGTCTAGTTCATGTGGTAGCGTAGGTGGCATTCAGGGTGACCTGGGCATTATACAACAGTAACAGCAGAGTCACCGGAACAACTGTTACATCGCGCCATCCGCCGATGACATGTAATCACAGAAGCCACAAGGGACGAGCAGAAATCGTGAAATCCAATGGCGTGTGTTTAATCCCCTTTCCTTTGTTTCACATTTTATCCACCAAGCAACGCCAGTTTGCACTACACACTTAGAGGAGCAGTAGCTCCCTGCTTCTCTCCTTGGGAGTTGTGGATGTGGCATTACAGGATGCTCTCCCAGTCACATGCAGACATTACCTGGCAATATTGGCGTGGTGTACTATCGTAGACATTGCTCAAATGGCTGTTTGACTATTCTAAGGAAATAAGCTTGGCTATATGCTGCTTACGTTAAATCTTGGCTTTATAAAGCATTCCTAGTGTGTGCCCAAGGAACCCCATTACGACTAATATTTCGGATTCATGAAGTATATGGTGCACGCGAACCTCAGAATTAGTGCTTGGCCTGATACTATTCGTGCAGCAAAAAGGAACATGCATGTATCCGTCTGAAACATGGCCCACAATGCAGCTCATCTTCACAGTGGGGAATGAAGTGTTTAAACGGCGCTGACATTCACTTGTCGGCCTTGAGCATTAGTGCTAGCATCGGTGTCCGGATGGAATCAGTGCAATGTTGGCGGGGAAATTATTTGCGTGTCCCGCTGGAGAGCAGGCAAGACAGAGGAAACTGTAGCCATGCTTTTTGTTGCAGTGGTGCACACCGGAGGGCATGTTGGAGGACTACTCCACGGGGGCGGTGTTCCTGGCACCGCCACAGGTCTACGAGACGTCTCGCCTGCTCAACATGTCGAGCTTCAGCGCCCTCAGTGAGTTCGCATGCAGCAGGGCTGTCGAGGGCTGCGAGCAGTGGATGCCGGTCATCGCATCGGCCAACGACGGAGCGGTGTCACTCTTGCCAGGTGCGTTCAAGCATTGCTGCCCTTCATTCTCTGTTGGATGTACAGCTAGGATTGAAAGAGACGAGCAAGATTTTCTGCTGATAAGGCAGGGGCTAACCCTCAGCCCCGAGACGGCTTTGTGACGTCGGGTTGGGGGTAGGGTCCTGGCCCCCCTGACCTTGGGGTGTTCAGTAAAGGCACGCAGTCTGTTCACCATTCCAGCGCACAGTTCAGACTCTGATCCCCGCAGCCCAGTGTATGTGCGTTTGTTACTTAGTAGATTGTACAAAGCACACACCAAATGCAGAAACTCTGAAGATGCCACCTGCTAGATGCTGAGTATCGTAACGGCCTCTACACCAAAAAGGTTCTATAATGTGGCTGCATGCGCACCGATTAAGAATTTGTCAATGATTAATTGGGTACCTTTATTTGTTTGATTGATTGGCGTAATGTGGAGGCTGATGAAGCGAAATTGTAACATCATACAGTTGCAGACAATTACTGGATTGTGCAAATCCTTAGCAATGCAGAAACAGTATGTTCCAAGGAAAATTTTCTTTGATTTATTGTTTCTTTTATATACAAAGCACAACATGAGCAAGTAATTGTAGCGTGGCTGGCTTTTTTGGGTCGAAGTAGGAAAGAACCGGCGCCTGTCACGATGCTTCAAAACTTTCTTGCTGTTTTTCCGTCCAGACCCACGCTATATTTTTACGTAGCAAGGTCCGAAGTGGCGCTCTTATGACTGACATGTTGGGAATAAAGTGGTGCACGAAATTCATTGTGCCGAGCAAAACTTGAAGCTCCTTACAGTGTTTTGGCTCCGGCATCTGCTGGATGTCGTGCACCGGTTCTGGGTCGAGGCGCAAACCTTCGTTGTGAAGACGTGTCCCACGTAGCGGACTTGTTGCTGCAAAAAGATGCACTTCTTGGGGTTCAGTCTGAGGTTGTGTTCTCGACACCGCGTCAAAAGCAGAGTCAGGTTATAGTCGTGTTCTTCTTTAGTTTTTCCCCACAGTAGTATATCATCCATCACCACCGCAACATAAGGCAGCCCTTCTAGCAGTCGGTGCATTGCGGCTTGAAAGATTTCCGGCGCAGAAGCGTCCCAAAGGGCATACGAAGAAAGTGATAGCGCCCGTACGGTGTGCTCATCGTGCAGAGTTTTGAGCTAGCCTTCGTGAGTTTGATTTGCCAAAATCCAGACGCGGCATCCAAAATGGAAAAGAACTTGGCCTCAGCAAGCCGCGGAGCGACATCCTCTAGTGTTGGCATGGGGTAGTTCTCACGCAACAACGCTTTGTTAAGTGCTGTTGAATCCAGACAGATGCGTATCTTGTTCTTTTCAATGACTGTGACCATGTGGCTAGACCATTCCGTTGGCTCGGTTACCTTTGCAATGACGCCTTGCTCCTCCATGCGCTGTAGCTCCGCCTTCACCTTTTCCTGAAGAGCCACGGCTACTCTTCTAGCCAGCACGATGACACCCACGCTGCCGGGCTTGAGCTTCATTGCATACTCGACATCCTTCAGCTGTCCGAGTCCCTTGGAGACTTCTGCAAAGGGTTGTGCTGGCGGGTAAAGCTCTTCGAGATGGACGTCCTACATATGACGTATAAACCAAAGACGTTCGGCAACTATACCACTTAAAGTCACCGGAACATTGTGGTCTACTACAAAGAATGTTTCTTCGTGTGTCCTGTTGTTTGCGGAGAGCAGCAGCGTTACTTTGGCCTGTGAGGTGTTCTTGTGACTGAAGAAAGCAGTGAGCGTAGCGTTACAGGCTTGCTGGGGCTTTACCGGGAGCCTCGTCACGTCATGCCGCGAAATAATGCAAAAATTTGCACCAGTGTCCAACTTGAAGTCATTGGCTGACCCTCTATCTCGACGGTTGCGCTCCACTGGTCTGTCGTGATTGTGTTGATAGATTAAGCCTCCAAGAAAAAATCTTCGTCATCTACGCGCCGTTCCCGAAGATTTTTCTTTTCTTTGTTTGCCTTCTTCTTTTGTTGCTCGCGAAGTTTCCGACGACTTGCACGCTTGAGCAAAGTGATTCAGCCTTCCACATTTGTTGCACGATTTTTCTTGCACAGGACAAGCGTGGGCACGGTGCACTGTATAACCACACCTACTGTAGGGTTTAACGCTCGCTGCGACGGTGTTCACTGCGGTGTCGTGCGCTGCCGATTCACTTATTTCATGGAACTGCTGTTTTCCTTGCTCCTGATCGCGGCACATTTTGAAGGTCTTCTGATAGGTTGGGTTTTCTGCTATCAGTTTCTTCTGCAAGCCCTTATCTCTAATGCCAAGGATAATACGGCTGCATAGCCTACGCTCTTCTAGCTCTCCAAATTCAGTTTTTTTGCTAGAATTCTGAGTTCTTTCAACCAAGTGCTGAATGACTCGCCTTCCTTCTGATCCCTTGACCCAAAGCGGGATTCCTGGAAGGTCAAATTGGTTGCCGGTCGGTAGAAGTCCTCAAATGTATGAATCGGGGTGTTAACATAATTTCTGTCCTCCTCAGTCTCAAACTTAAAGCTGTTGTATGCTTTTCAGCCTTTCTCGCCAATAGTCACCAGCAACGTTGCTGCCTGCACTTCTTTCGGTTGCTTGCTCAGTTGCGTAGCTGTAGAAAACAATGCAAACTCACTCTTCTATGTTTTCCATCTAAGCCATGTGTCGCCTGAGGTGTCCAAAGGCTTCGGTGGCGGCAGCTGTAGTTGCAGTGTTGACGTGGTCGACATCTCGATTGTTTTCCTGGTTGGGCACCGCTGCCACCATGTAAACGGGCCAGACGTCGGGTGATGAAAGAGGTTGGTTCGGGATGTCACGATGACTCAGAGTTGAGCCACGCTACAGCAATTTTTTTTTCTTTTAGAGTTAACACGCTATTACTAAAACTAATGTGGTAGAAAGTTCTCATTTAGGACACAACCCTAAGTGATAAGTTTTAGTGCTTGGCCCTGTTTTAATAAAAAGCAGAAAAGTGCAAATGTTGTGTTTGTGCAAACATTCGATTGCCATGGGCTGATGGCAGGAGAGGTGGAAAGCAACATACACACCTTTTCTCCTGCATTAGGCTGCCGGCTACAAAGTACTGTGCAGGCAAAATGTTTGATACCTAGAAATATTTCACTGTAACTGGCAACTTTGATCAGTCAGAAAACTGGGTCATACAGCCAAGATAGCATTAGAACTACTGAAAGGTACAACAATGAGGTCCTCCCTGAGTCCACTTTTATACAAGGTTGAAACAGCATTAGTTGACGCAGATAGATTTGTTCATAGAATACGCCTCCAATAGATTCTGGGTTATTGGCGACATTGCCAGAAACGTAGAAGCAGATCGCTTGGCTGGCGAAGCCTATTCTCGCAACACTATGGAACTGACAATATTCGTTCACACCTGCAGATGACAAGTTCCTACTATGGCACTTCTGAGAGGAATGCTCCCAGCAGAAATCATTTACTCTCTCGACGCTCTCCTACTTCTTATTGACCCAGATCTTGTTACCTCGTACAGGAACAAAAAGAAAATATGATGCTCTCTTACTACGACTTGGGGTGGCCTTCACAGTCAGCTTCCTGCACTGAATTGGGCAATGTGAGTCTCCAACATTGAATGCGGTTATCCCTTTGAAAAGTCACATTCTCCTAGACTGCCACTGCTCTGCCACAGAAAGGCAAAGGATGAAGATTTGTCTCGAACTGCTGTACAGACGTCCTCTAGCTTTAGCAAAGAAACCGGGCCCTTGGCCAGACCTCAAAACTCTCAAAAAAGCACTTATCATCATTTCCGACTTTTTAAAAGACAGCGGTCTCTTATATTAGGTGCTAATACATTTACCCCCCCATGATTATGTATGTTCGCAAGTATGTAAACGATTGAGTTATCGCAGCAGTGTGCAGTGTGTGTGGAAGAAGAGATCGGTGTCTTCGCAACAGACAATCAACTAAGAAGTGTACAGTGCTGAAGAATAACTTTTGCACTTCGCTTGTTTTGTGGGGTGCCATTTAGTAAGGGCCTTATACTGTGTTTGCGACTTTCACAGCCTATAGACCTTTGCAAAAAAAGCTCTGGCAGCCGCCATTTTGTGAATCGAGCGACCCCTATCAGCCAGAAATTTCTGCTACCCGCCTGAGCTGTGGAAACCCGGTCAGCGTGACTCCCCACCTGCGTTGTGCATTCAGAGTTCGCCGGATTTTCTTGGAAGATTTTACTTTATTTGCCTGTTTAGGATGCTTGCTTTTCGTGTGTTATCTTCCATTGTGAGAACCAGGGAATACCAGGGGTCGTAGCCTGCTCGGCCTTTGCAGGAAACTAACGAAGAGAGCGAACGTCAAGCAGCCCACGACGCGGGCATTTCTACGTTCTTGGAGAATTATTTGCGTAGAGATAATCTCCAAAAAGCCTTCCCGGCTATGTTCCCGGTCTTCATGAAAAATAGCTGATAGGGTTGGGTCCGGGGTGTGGGGACGGAATAGACAGAGGGCTCTGGGAATAGACCCGTTCGTTCATTTGCTTTGAAGCTGTGCAAAAAAGCAGCTCTCTTCTACATGTGTCCCAAAACAGGCCAAATTCCGTCCGATCGTCGTGAAGTGACTATCGTAGACACTGTATATTGGATATGCTGTGTTATTTGAGACCTTTCTCAAATCCTGTTTGGATACTGCGGCACCGTGGGGTACGTACAGTATATGTTGTTCGATTCATGAGACTCATTGAATTTCATGTTGTGAGCGGGGATTACCTATGTAGTTCGGATATCCTCTGTGGTCAAATATTTTTGACGGTTAAGACCCTTGTAGATGACACGGCTGAGTGCATAATGCCTTAAAAAGATGAACATAAAAAAAAAAAATCCCGTTTGCAATTTTTTTGTTGCGCACGGGCTCAGCAAAACAGCTTTCATTTTTTTGTTTCTGTTCCCAAAAATAATTCAAGGCATTCTTAAAAACCCCGAGAAATTCTATTCGTCATAGAACACAAAATAAAAAAATAGAATGTGGCAATTTAG